TATTTGGGTTAAAATACGCACATAGTGGCGTCCCCATCTTAAATAATTGATAATTGATAATTTTCACTTTTATATTAATTGAATCATAACAAATTATTTCAAAGTACATATGTTGTCAGAAATGATTAATTAATTAAATTCTTTTACACACTTATTAGCAACCTCTAATTTATAAACTAATTTATGATCCTAGAAACCAAAAACATAGAGATATTCTTAAAGAACAGTAATGTTTTGAAAGGTAATGCGCAGAGTATAGAGAGAGGGCGTTGACTCACACTTGAATAAACAAAACACAGCTGTGAGCCACTTATCAAACTGTTTGAAAATGAACCAACAATCAGATTACATATGCACTTGGTGTAGAACAAATTCTTCGGGAAGTTAAATTATACTCTCCAAAGAAAAACTTATTCAGATTCCAAAATGGCATCACTTATATCACTTATCAAAAAATCACTTACCTGGTCTTAACTTTTTCCATCCTATTTCAGCTGTTCTTTTATTAGTTAATGATGAGTGTTACCAAGTTATTTGTAGGGAAGAATAAATTACGTTTAGCTTTTTTAATACAAAGATGAATGGTTACTAGCTTTTATCCTAGAGGCATGAAGGTTAAAATCTTACCAATCACCTACGGTTCTAAGGTCTGTTATCATGCTGTGACACAGTGGTGCTGTATTAAACCTTTGACATTTTCACTTTGTCATTACAGTATTATGGTACTGGAAAAATATGTCAACACAAAATGAACTGTACTATATAAGTGGCTGGGTAGCTGCCTGGTTATGGTGTTTGACTAACAATCAAAAGGTCGCCGGTTCTATCCTGAGAAAAGTCGGTAGTTTTGTGATGGTTTGAAACTAGACCCATCTCTCCCTATAGCACCTCGTTTTCCTCGTCACAAACGGATGAGAACCTCTTTAGAGAAGGAGTGGGGGCGTGACGTCACTCTTTTCTTGAGGGAACACCATTACCGTAACGAGACAATATGATTCCAGCGGCGTTCGTGGCGTAGTTGATAGTGTCTTGGACTGGTGTTCTGGAGGTCTTCAGTTCGAATCCCACCAGGGACACTAATTTTTGTCAAAGATTTTGCTTAGAATGTGAATACTTCTTAACTGTGTCATCTTTTGTTAGAATTTGAGGCATTTATAATTTGATTTATGAACAGAAATGTTTTTTTTTTAAATAGTAAACCTTTATTTGATTTTTATCTTATATCTTTTTTTATAATATCAGCAAGTTTGGTTGCTTAGGCTAGGTAACAGGGTTCGGCTCTAGGTACACAATTTAATTTTATAATACAAAATTTTTAAACTAATTTTATAATTAAAAATTATAAGTAAACCTTCGTTTGATTTTTATCTTATATCTTTTTTATACTATCAGCAAGATTGGTTGGTTAGGTTAGCCTAATTAAAAATTTTAAAATTAATTTTTAATTAAAAAGTTAATTTTATAACTAAAAAATTATACAATAAATTTAAAGTTTTTTTTTATCGGCATGAGGGGCTCTCCCACAATTCACCTCTGCTTCCCAGAAAAGGTTCTCATCAGTTCCGGACAAGGAAAATAAGACGCTAGTCATCTCTCCCTGATCATTGGGTTAAATAAGTGATCCTGTCTAATGAAACAGCTGATCTTAGTCAGCAAAAAGCTACACAGCTTTTATTTGACCAAAATTAAAATTTCTCTGCGTAAAAGGCACCGTATGCAAAGATTGTATGAAATTAACTTGCCACTGGGCAGTTTACAGTGATAGCCATGTTAGTGCTTCATCCTTGTGTCCCTCACACAATACTGGCTACAACATTGTCTGGATATCAGTGATTATAGAGGTTACCTTCAAATCTGAAAGTCCCTGGTTTGATTCCGAGCAAGATTGTTCTTACGCTAGCGGTACACTATCACCAAATGTTCAACCGAATATTTTGCCTAGTTTTTGGCTGGAATCGCAACAACAAATGCTGCCGAACGTTAACCACAAGCTCACCCAGTAAACGCTCACTGATAGTTCGACTTACTTTAACTAAATGCTTCAACTAGTGTTATTGGCATTACTAAATAGCATATATCAATTAATGTTTGCTGACGTTGAAAGCCAAGGTAGAAAAAGCAATGATGGGATTTTTCAAAACATCGTGTTGTGGAACAATATTTAAAAAAAATAAAATCAAACTCCCGTAGTCAAAAACCACTGCCTAGATCAAATGGGCTAGCCTATTGTTGTACCCTGCCCTATTTTTTTAAGTGATGGTGCTCTTGCACTAAATCCTAACATAAAGAAGCCATTCCCCAATGATTATTAGTTTGGTAACTTAACAAAATTTCAATTATAGAATATCAGAATCAAGAGTTTTAGTATAAAATACTTTGAAACAAAAGTGTTTATTCGTTTTTCCACTCCATCAAAATTTATTGCACTACTCAGTCTCACCTAATGAACTGGAGACAAGACAAATTAATGAGTATGAACTAACACTAGTTTGGGTGAGCTCAATCGGCACTCGCATTTGCTCATCTCCTTTGAGTCGTCCAAAAACTAAAAAAGGAGCGCAGACAAGCAAGGATCATGGCTATGCGAACTATCGCGAGCCTACACAAGTAGAGCAGGTACACAATCGTACTAGCCATAGCTCGCCTGTATGTGGCGATAGTGTACTGCTAACATTAACTCAGATGCCATTAAACGGTTAAATTATAAATTTTAACATTGGACTCTCAATGCACAATGGTATGTAAAAAAAGGTCGATGCTAGGTTGTAACAAGACTAGGGTTTGGACCATTTCTTTAAAAATTTAAAATACGAAGGCTTAGTAAACAAAATACTTGAGATTACACTAGACTGGGACGGGTGGTGTAGTCCTGTAATCCAGCTGCTAGGAGGTCACGAATTGTGGATATTTATAGGCATGCATTGTGGAATCGATACTCTCTGGTGTGGATTAACGTCCGCACGAGTGAGTACTACGACTATCCTGATAATTAGACCAATTCGTATATACCAAGGAAAAAATGTGGTTCGGATTCCACTATAAACTGTAGGTCCCTTAGTTGCCATTAGTTGTATGGGCTATTAATTAAGAGCTGTGTCTAAGGAATATGTCGACCTTAGTCACTAACAAGACTACAAGATCCGCCACTCATCTCCATTCATACTTGGCTTAAAATACCTACTTTGTATGGTCGCCATTTTATCAAAAAGTACAAAAGTATAAGATCTGTGCATCACATCTAGATATCAGTTTTATTTCATTCACCAGAGTATCAACCTACTTATACCAATCTTTACATTTTACTTACCCATCAACCTCAATTACCAGGAAAAAATCAAAAATTGTAACGACTGAAACCCATTGTTTTAAACCTCATGGAATCGCTCCACATTTTATAGAATGAGAATTTTTGTAATCTTTAACATTCCAAAACCTACCATGTCGTGACAAGGAGTTGTTGTGGGCGAACATATCCCTCGTAGCGGCACCTGGAGCAGTTTCCCTGGCAACCAGAGCCTGAGAGGTCTTGGACTTGCGGTCGTACACTGTCATGATGAACCCTCCGCCCAGTGCCATACTCTGCATGTTGACCACCCCGTTGCAGAACAGTGCTGCTACCGCAGCATCCACTGCTGAACCATTCTTGGCCAAGATGTCTCTGGTTATCCACAGAGCATACTTTTCAAAACGGTTAACTTCCAGGTTACCTGAGTTAAGGTGTTTAACTTAAACAAAAAGATTTTAATTTACTAACCCATTTTAGGCCTTCCGGTAGTTGTTGGTAGCTTGTTTGGCTTCATAGGCTACAGTTAGGTACCTATGAAAGTAGTAGAGCTGATAATTTTGAATTGAACTGATTTTAGCTTTTAAGTAAGTTTTACAGTAAAATTTTTAGAGTATAGGTTGATGAATGCATCCATTTTAGAAAGCCAGTATTGCAGCAAAAACAGCCAGTTTTTTTTAACAGTTAAATTATGTCACATTGATTCATTAAATTTAAAAGTTTTGATGTAGCGTTAGAAAGTGCCAGATTACCAACAGGCCCTAAGCTTATTTTATTTTACATTTAAAGCTGAAACCAAAAGTTTAATTGTATGATAGGCTACTAACCACTGATCAAGGCCCTATTTCCTGGTGCCATTGTTTCTATTTTATGAACTTAACTCCTTTTGAATCCTACAACTAGATCTAAAAACCATTTGCATTCTAATTGGACTTGTGGGCCTGGAAAAGATAGTTAAAGGCTACCCAGTGTCAGTTGGGGAAAGCTCCCGCGCTAAATGTCAGACTAGGCGTTTTGAAATTTCACACAAAGGAATGTAAACTTACATTCTTTCTCTCCCAGTTGCCATTGCCAGTCTCGTTGTTATAGGTTGGTGTTTAACTTAGGCCTTGTGTAATTTTGAAATCATTTAAGTTAACTTAACTTAGGTACCGAAACCAAACTTGTAAAATCATATGTTATCATAACATGACCTCACATGTCATCCTTTGTATTTTTAAGACTGGAAAAGAGTTCTGATTTTCTTGAGCCCTCTCACAGTAAACTTAACCTCCACAGTAAGTTAAGTTAAACTTACACAAAATAAGATGCCTAGACTGTCTAACATTTTTTATAGGCTACTGTAAGTTTAATCTATTTGCTACGACATACCAATTAATAGGTTTAGGCTATACTGAAAATGTACGATACTCTTCTAATTGTCATGACACAAAACTTAAGTTAGGCTACTAGGATTGTATACAGTATTTTACCATCAAGTGTAATTCAATTAACTTTAATCCTATGCAAAAAACCAAACTTTAAAGTTGTAAAGCCTTAAGTGGTGTCTCAATTAGCTGGTTGTAAAATAGTAAGTAAAACGGCTAAAATGAAACAATCTAGGCCTAGGCTAGTTTAGAATAAATTAGGAAATAGGCTAGGCCAATATAACTATATTAAGTTAACATAGTCTCTAACCAGGTAAGTTACAGGTTGTTGAAAAGATAACACACTGCAGTATAAATACGACCTAATTTATTATTCGTAGAAAACAAATCATTACTTAGTACAAAATAGTGGTTTTAACAAATTCATTGTTAAATAAGTTAATTTAATGACGATGAGAACTTCTGGATATTGGAATCAATTGGCAGATGGTAGGCCTATCCTTGAAGTTATATAAGTAAGGAATTACGTTATCACAATAGCCAAAAGATAAAACTAAAAACCTGTTTTAATCGGTGTTTAGTCCATTGCTTCTTGATAACAACTTCAACGACCGTTTCCAGTAGAAGTCCCATTTCGAACAAGTCCCAACAACTGCTTGGGAGAAAACTCAAGTCAACATAACACACAATTTCAAATCAACGAGTCCGAGTACCAAAAAGTCCAAGTCTTAAATTATCACTGGGGAGGTTTTGGCTTCGTAGTTTCAGGCTTCTTATTCTGTTCAGTCTTCATTTGTTTGTCAGTAATTTTCCTTGTGTGTCCACTGGGGTCAAAGTGATTCGTGTGTTCACTGGCTTCTTTCTTCGTACGCTGTTTTCCACTGTGTCCAGAATAGAGATGCTTGTCAATGTCGAAATTGTAGTGCTCGTACTCATCGAAGTGGGTTTCAGACATGTTTGTAGAAAATTAGTGAACTATTTCACAAAACTAAAGACAGAACGACTGGCTAATACCGTGGATGTTCACAACTAGACGTCAACCTTGAATCTGCTGTGCTGAAGAGGAAGGATTAATTTTGTTTTGATGTCGAAACGAAAGTTGACAGAAGTTTGTGCGCTTGCGCAAAGAAACCGTTCTCGCCTCTGATTGGCCAGGTTCGCTGCCAGCTGTTTTGCAAAGCATTGTGGGTGGCGGCAACGGAAAGTGCTAGAAGAAACAGAATTTGGCGGCTTAGCGTTTGAATTCAATTATTCTGACACGACATGAAATTAAAAAAAAAAACTCCTTCACCAATATTGAGATCAAAATGATACATAGGGTTTTGTTTATACATTTAGGAGCTAAGCCCTAATATATGGAAAATATTATGAAACGTTTTTCATAATTAAAAGTCCTTAAATTAATTACACCAAATAACGTAAATACACTGATTTATTTTATACGATCTCTGTTAATTGATTAGGTTTAACAATTCATTCTTCAAACATTTTCACACAAAATTTCTGATAAATTTGTAAAACCAAATATTAATCAGAGAAACTAACCCTATTATAAATGAACTCAAGAATCTTGGTTTAGTATGGGGAAGTGGCCAATACAGATTATAAGTGTCTTAATATCCTGTTGCCATTGATTATATCTACTCAATCAACCAATGCTACCCTACCTGCCGATCTTCGAGCACGGGGTACCATCTGTGCAGACGGCTGCCTTGCGGAAGCTGTGCTGATAACTATGGGAGGGTGGTAGTGGTTCTTCGGGGTCTGGGGGCTCCGCCCGGTAGTTGAGGCTAGGAGAGTGACGGGAGGCTATCTGCCAGGTAAGGAAGGCAGTGGCAGCCGAGGCGACCAAAACAGCAGCAACCCAAACTGCTAGGTAGCGCCTCTTTACGCTGGACCTGAAATGAAAATACACGTTGGTTGATACTGGCTGAAGTGGCTAGAGAGTTTTTGATTAGGTAAAGATTGTTTTGTGCCCGGGCTTTGGCCTCTTATAAGTAGGTTCGATCATAAGAATCGGTTGATGGCGACTTTTTTATTCGTCGTGATGAGGATAGATTAGATTAACATAGCACCACACTCATGCAGTATGATGAGGCGATGATGAGTTCTGAGTGTTCAATGGATAAAATGATAGTATTGTTAATGACTAAGAACGACTATTTCTTTTGCTTAGGACCAATTATCAAGCCCACGGATGATGACAGCTGGATTTTTTCGAATCAACAAAAAGCTACTCTGCTAAGGATCGAACCAGCGACCCTCTAGAATATTCACATTGAGATATCAAATATTTTTCCGCCTATTGTGTTTTGTATGGAATCCTGTCTACTTGAACCAGGCTAACAGCCAGTCCCAGGTAGATGGAGGGCCATGAAACAGGTTCCTTCATACAGACTATATGTGAGTACACCCCCCATTTTAGGTAAACAACACTAGACAGGTCGTCAATAATTGATGACCTGTGAATGGTTCTTTTCGAAATTGAATTATTCAATTCTACACTCATCATGCAATTGTAACTCAGTATATTAAAATTCAATATTTTTCCAGGACATGACCTAAAATAATAACCCTAATTATTATGTTTTACTATAATTCGTATGTTTTTGATGTTGGGATTTTTGACGGCAATTTTCTCAAGGGAGTGTACAGAAACTTGCTTGTTTTTCCTCAGTTGTTCTAAATGATCTTAAGTTTTTCATTTGTCAGAAACGAACCACACCAATTTCCGTAGAAACAAAGTTACATCGAGAAATATAACCAGAAAGCCTGGTTTGCTAAGGTCCGAGACGCGATGTGGAGTGTGGAGGCGGGTATAAATATCAGTGTAAAAATAGGTCTAGATGTTAATGGCAGAAACAACGCAGTAAGCAAGAACAAACATCTTTCTACCTCCATTTTGATACAACTTTACTTCAGTATCCAAAGTCAACTATTTCACTTCCTCTTTCGATGTTATTGTAGCTTGCGCTAGAGATATTAGCCTCTAGGAAACCTGTAGAATAAGCGTATTCCTAGCTGTGGCACTTGTTGAATTTTTAAATAAAAAATAACGGAAAAACCTCATTTAACGCTTCATAAAGTAAAATGTTCAATGAGTACTTAGATTTGCTGCAACCAGTGACAGGGTTTACTTATTTCCTTCCAAAATGGTTACAATTGTTAACACGGTTGACATATAAACACGATAGTAGATGGATCTCTCAGCTGTGTTCTAGAAGGAGAAAGCGAAATCGGAACTAGAATATCAGAATGTCGTAGGTAATGAATTTGTCGAGGCTAATGACTTTGTTTACGAATCTATTTATCCGACGACGTTGCGGTTTTCAGTCACACGTTTCAATCATAATGGACATATTATTTTGATTAAATTACTAATTGTTCATAAATAATGCAATAAAAATCATCCGAATAGTAAAACTATAGCCTTTTAACTACTATTTTACTTGCTTTATTATATACTAGCAAACCCGTCGTGGCTTCACGATGCTTGAATTGTGTCGTGTTGTGTGTTGTGTGAATTGTTGTTGTGCTCACGAAAATTGAAATTAAAAAGTAAAATGTTTAATCTGATCCAACAAAATAATTAAAAACACATATTTAGGCCTAAATCCATTTACATACTATGTAATCACTTAATTTAGCTGAGCATATGACCGAAGATTGCATATGCTACGCAAATATGACTAACGAAGTTAAACACCTTGGGAAATTTTCTTCATTTAGCCTACAACATTTAACTGCCCTTCCAACAAGAGCTTCAGACTACGTTCTTTTCAAGTTTTCGTGGACTATTCACTCTGAAACCACTCCAAAATATGTTTTTGGCCATGCTACTATCCCCTCTGTATCTCTTTTCAGTTAGGTGTAGGCTACACGCTTAAACCTAATTTTCCAATAGTACAATGATCGCCTATAACTTTATTTTAAAGTATTATCTACCTATCTTAAAATAACACTAAGTAAGATAAAACCTTGCACGATGTTTTATTGTGGCTGTCAAAACCCTCAATGGCCCTAGTTGCAAATATACATTCAGATGTTTTCATTTTCACCAACCACGTTTGTATGTGTGTAAATACTTGACATAATCCGCCAAATACTTGTACTCCATTATATATACATTATAATACTTGTAACAACATTCTCATCATTCTGCAATTGCATGATTGTGACATTATTAATTATCCAACATATAGCTAGGGATGGACAGGATTGTACTTATCAAGAAGTCCTGATCTTCTCTCTTGAACACCAATTATAAATAGTGATAGAAGGCAGTTACCATCCCTTCAAAATATAGATTCAACTCGTTAGGAAATAATTGTTCCTTTGTCATTGACATCGAAAACACGTTAAATAATAATACAGTTATTAAATTATAGAGAACAGACAGACCTTAAAAAATCGCGAATAACTGAGTATAACATACACATCTTGAATTTAGAATTTATTAAACCACACAAAATATTTTATGCAGTAAAACACATTTTATAACCACAATAATAATGTAAATATTTTCATTTCACCTAATAAAATATAATCAGCTGTTCCCTTAATTAATTGCAGATTGAAAAGTATTCATTTGTTCAAATGTAAACACATATTTTCTCCATAAGAACTAAGAATAACATGGGAACTTTAAATACCCCTCCAAAGCAAACCTGCCGACTAAGCGAATTTCCATTTGTCTGAATTGATTTTCAATAAAATCTATTTAAATAACATTAGTTTAACGAGTACCTAGGTTTGCTGCTACAAGGAAACTAACAAAGTGTGTTTTTAGTAAAATATCAATAGCTTAGTATGAAATAAATAAATGTGCCAAGTTTTATCAAAATATATCCATAAACAAGCAAACTACAACATTTTACAATATTCTCCATTAGAATTACATGGGAATTTAAAATTTACAATTTTTTGAATTTTCTCCGTTACCAAGAACCGTACAAAAACACCTTGATATACTAAATTATTTGTTTTTTAAGCTCTTTGAAAGTCACCAAACGGCTTTGAAAATTCCAAATTATCCCGGGGAGGACCCCCGGACCCCCTGCCTCATTGGGGGGTGCTCCACACCCCCCCCCCCAAGCCTCCGGGTAGCCCCCCCCCCGACAAGGTCCTAGAACCGCCACTGGACAAAAGAGAAAAAACTATTTAAAACGGGGCGACATGGCTACCAATCAGACATGACAAAACAAGTACTGTATCAGACAAAACAGAACATGCAAGCAGACAAAAGGGTCACACACAATCGGTTCAATTCAAGGCTACAAGATTGTCTGAGATTTCGTTAAAACTTAATTAGTCTCTTTAATTTGACACGTGTGATCGAGTTGCATAATAAAGACTGAGGAGGAAAATATCTAGTTTAAAAAACAATCTAGATATACTTTTTATATTATCTTGGATGAATATATTTTTTTAGTTAATTTGCATGTAAATGTTCGCTTCACCGTTGGTTAAATATACCATTTGTAATTGGATTTTTCTGAGATGTTAACATTATACCTTTTTATACTGACTTTGAGTGTTTACAAATTTAGTAATCATTCTTCAAATAACAATAAAACATAAAACTTAAAGTAATAAAGTGCGAAAAGACCAAATTTAGAAGCGTGTGCTTAGAAAAAAAATAATCTAGAAAAAAACAGACTTTTCTGTTAATTTATTACCACTATATTATTTAGATGTAACAATCAAACAATTGAAGTTTCAAATTATGCCTTTGTTCCAACCTAACCTAATGCAAAAAATTGATAAAAATAACATTTTAACCTGGAAAAATAGTGGTAGGAAGGGGAAAATAGTGGTAAGAAGGGATTAAGTCCATTAGTCCAAATTTAATGCTGCTCGTCAGTTATTTAGGGCGTCAATGTCAATGTTTGGTAATCTCTACGGACGTCAATAAGCTATCAATAATTTATTATTATATTGCAGCGAAAAATTTTCCAAGCTGTAAAATAGATAGAGACGCATATAAAATTGAGGTTAAAAGTGTTGATAACACCTGTTTCTGCCGATGTTGCAGCAATCAGCTGTTTGAGGCCCAATACGGGTTGTC